AAAAAAAAAAAAAAAAAAAAAAAAAAAAAAAAAAAAAAAAAAAAAAGAAGAAGACTGTACATCTAGTTGGTATAGATGACAGACTATCGATTTTTTTTTAAAGTATTTTTTAGTCATTCTATGCTCGTGATTACTCTCATTCGGATGTGATCTCGATTTATTTATATACCCATTTTTTACTCGGGTGTCACATGCCAACCAATTTTCGAATTGGTTCGTCTCCGAACCACGTCATACTAGAAGAGGTATTACTCTAATACCAGGTTTGATACCATTCTCAAAAAAAGAATTGTCCAAAGAGCTCATTAGATGTAATCATATACGAACATTCCTCTTAATTAGGTCTATGTAAATATACGAAGATATCGTTAACTCAATATAATATATCTCAAATAAAGCTATCGATGGTTTAGAAAACTAACACGTTAATTATTTTAGGTCTCTGAATTCATGTAATCGGTCGAAATATCTTAAATTTTTTTCAAAATATTTTTAGTCTATTAGCCCTTGTGACCCTTCGGTTTCAATCTCATCCTTTCCTACTTTTACTTTTCATTTATGCCCTTTTCAAGTCGGATTTTTTTAAAGTACTTCATCATTTTGTAAGTAGTCGTTTTTTCAGTACAACAACGTATGAGAGCGAGAGATGCTAACTTTAAACCCCATGATGCCTAAACAGTTATTACGAGTGAATGATTCTTTTGTTCTATATCCCAAACAAACAACTTCCTAATCTGGAACAAATAAAGGAGAAATGAGAGCGGGGGAGAAAAATGACAACGGAAAATGGTCACGTCGTTAAAGTTTAATCAATCTGTTAACCACCGTGTCAGCATTTTTTAAGGTCAACTAGGAGCCAAACGATCATAGACTAAAATGTTCCTTTTGAAATTTCGTGGATCATATAGAAATTAACATCTAACATCATGAACCAAAAAGTATATTTTTAAATATCAAAACCGAACCACAATGGTAAATTTCTAACCCGTATCATCGTATTCGAACATTGTTTTTGACAATATACGAAGATACGAATTTCACAAACGAATGGAATTGGATAAACTATGAACAATTTTCCTCATGTTTTGCGGAAAGGGCACGACATTAAGCCCCACAGTTTTTGTGCCTATACAACTTTTTCCAAGTTAGATATTGAATTTTGCTCTTTCAGTCTATTTATCCATAACAAAAAGTCAAGAAGAACACAATAATGGATGAGGATAAAAAGAAAAACAAAGTAGAAGTCAAACCTTATCCGATTAACACTCTATCGATGACTCATCAACACCTGTGGATTGAAGAAATTATTTGAACTGACCTAAAATTTCGTGTCGGTTGAGGTTAGTGACTCGAATTACCTAATTTGGATTCACAACTCAACCTAACCCAATACTGGTGGGTTATTAGGTTGTATATTTAGTTCTTCCCGACATGTTTAGAACGAACGAAGCTCTACTAACCATGATTCCAAAACTTTCCAACTCACCATAGCTATATATCCTCCAAACAACGAGTCGTTGTAGTATAGTGATAAGTATTCCCATCTGTCACGCGGGTGACTCGGGTTTGATCCCCGGCAACGGCGTTTTCTTTTTCTCTTCTGCTAGATTTCTACATTCAGTTTCTTCAACTTTTTGAGTAAAAGAGTAGAGAGTTCATGGCTCAACAGATAAGAAAACCAACTTTTTAACTTTTCCATGTAGAGAAGAATGTACAGATGGGAGGCTAAAAGCACTGGAGTTTCAAAGTTCAACCACTCTTCAACTTCCTGCTTTGAGAAAAAAAAGCTGCATGGACTAAACAAGGATAATCTTCAACAACAGGGCGTTGTGTATTCAACGCACCTCGTTGTCATCAGTCTTTGAGAAAAACTTAAACATATTGGCATTGTAATGCACTGGATATGTTCCAGCTGGGCTTCCACGTTTTCCTGCAAAAATGGAGAACGTCATGACAGTGTCAGATATGAAATTGTCGGATCCATGATTGATGGGTAAACAAAAGGTAACATAGGAAGAAGGAGATAATTTCTGTTCTTCTATGCATGTGTAAACCAACGTTCATGTCACAGCTCAAATCTAGCCTAAATCTATCGCTATCAGATATTGTTCTCTTAAAAATTTTCTTTTTGGGATTCCTTCGAGGGTTTAAAACGCATCTACTATAGAGAGGGTTTAGCCCTACTCTGACTAGTGCTTCGTACCATCTGGTGATTGGCTCTGATATCATTTGTAACAGTCCAATCCCACCGTTAGCAGATATTGTCCGTTTTAGCCCATTACGTATCGCCGTCAGCCTCACGGCTTTAAAACGCATCTATTAGGGAGAGGTTTCCACACCCTTACAAGGAATGCTTCGTTCTCCTCTTCAACTGATGTGGGATCTCACAGTTCATCTACTCAAAGGCCAATAAACGTGGGTACTAGTTCATAATAGTAACCTCCAAAGGAAAATGAAGCTCACACTAAAAGTAATTTTAAAAGGGCATGAAAGTGAATCCCTCAAGCTCAAACATGTCCTCAATAAGCAATTTGGGCAATAACATTATTTTGAATAGTATCTCTTTTGTTTTAAAGAATTTCAACAATTTTCCACTACATGTAGAGGTTAAAGCTATAGTGTTTAAATTTTCCATTTAGAATCTCATGAAGCATGCATGTAAGAAAGGTAGCCAACCTTGAAAACTTCACATGACACAAGTCAAATTCAGAAAACGAATTACCTTGGATTCAAGTTTTTGTTGGAAAGTCATGGGCACGGAATATTGTAACTTTCAGCACAATGTCTTTTATATCAAGCAGTTCAAAAACACAAACATCTTCTTCTTTCAAATCGTTCTCCATGACAAAGTTAGCCCATCCCCTGGTTAGTTTGGTGCCAGGACCTTCACGAACACATCGAACACGCCATTGCTTTCCACTAGAAACCTGAAGCGTGATGTCGCCTGAGACCCCTTTCAGATACTTCTCAGAAAACTTGGACGGTATATGCTGTCAACAAAGGAACCCAGTTCATTTGTATCACCTGTTTCACAACACAGTTGAGAAGCACACAATGGAATGTCGAGCTAAAAGACTTACCAGATGGAATCCTCTGCGTACATAGGAATGTCTCATAACAATCCAGCAAAAAGGATTGCCAAACGCGAACTCCTCGACTCCGAAAGCCATCCTAGTAATTTTATGTGGGATGTTTCCACATTTTTTTTCGAATAATGGCTCATTGTAGTAGTCAACTACATTCAATTTTGTTATTAAGAACCAATTTATTTCTTAGAATCTGCAAATTAGTTGAACTGTGTGCATTTGTAGAACTTACTTGGTTCAACTTTTAACTTCTTTTTCTTGGCTCCTTCTTCTATTTCATTAGAGAATTGAAAGTCAAGATTCTCTCTAGCTTTTGCGAGCTCATCTCCATTGAACTGAATACCAATATCTCCATTTGACCTTAGAACTTGCAACTTATCTGAACCTTCGAGTGTATAATCAAAATCCTTTGGAGGATGCAGGTTCTGTGTTTCAAACCAATGCGTAAAGTTCTTAGTGCTAGCTTCATTGGAACTTCCATGGAATTTCTGCTGCTCTGAAGATTCACAAAAAGCCTTCTTGCCCGAAGAATGCGAAGGGTCCGGAGAACTGTAACCAAATATTTCAACTAATTTCTCACATTCAGCTTCTTTTCCAAGTGCAATTGGGCTTTGTTCACAGGAAGCATTTGAAGTATTGCATGAACCATTAGAAATAGAAGTCAGGTTGAACATGTAAAAGTTGAAAACGGAATTTCCTTCAAATCTGAACACCAAGAGTTGCCCAACTTGAATGCAATGGTGTCTGATAAATTCATGCCAGCCATCCTCAAACCACAAACTACGGCCATGTCTTTTTAATTCCAGAACCCATCGGTAACCATTAGGAACAACTAGAGTAACAAAATCAGAAAGATCATCTCCAAACTTCTTTGCAAATTTTTTCGGTATTTTCTGTGCATACATCAAATTAATCAGTTAAAATGTTACTAAAAACATAAAACATCTCAATCAACAGGAATTCAAACAAGGTGTAATAGCCCAATCCCACCGCTAGCAGATACTATCCTCTTTGGGTTTTGCCTTCAAGGACTTCCCCTAAAAAACGCGTCTACTAGCAAAAGGTTTCCACACCTTTATAAGGAATACTTTATTCTCCCTCCAACCAATATGGAATCTCACAATCCACCTCCCTTGGGGACCTAGCGTCCTCGCCGGCGCAGTGCCCGGTGTATGGCTCTGATACTATTTGTAGACGCGTTTTAAAACTTTGAGGGGAAGTCCAGAAGGGAAAACCCAAAGAGGACAATGTAACTGTGATGACTTGCAAAAGTGTTAATACCATTATCAGAGTCAAATTACTGAATGGATTGTTATAAGAAATGATAAAAGAAAAGATCATGGTTTTCTCACACCGTCCAAAACAAGTCAACAGCAAACAGCCTCCAAAATTCTTTGAAACCAGGAATTTCGACCTCTTTACTGAATTTCCATGGGAAGAATTGAAAAAGAGAACCAAAAAAAAAGAAGAAAAAACACTATCCTCCAGCAGTTGAACTTGTAACTCACACTCATTGAGTCACTGCTTAGTCAAATGAAGCTCAACAAGCCTGACAAGATATAGTGAAAAAAGGGGTCCTGGCAGTACATCAAGCTTCATGCACAGACATATTGAACAAGTGTATCACTAAATGGCAATTAGAAAAGTAAAGATCAATCAACACCAAGAAACTCAAGCTGCAAAGCCTAAATCATGTTCTCGGCCATTGATTCTCATTCATCAGCTTTCAATTTGTTTTGTACTGCTTTAACACACTCCCTCTATGCAGCAACAGAATTTGGCTTTGAATCACTCGCCCCTCTAATCCTCCAAAACAATCAAACGAAAACTACCACGAAAAATTGCACACTAAAATCAGCCAAGAACACAATCACAAAAAGGCGTTCTCCCTCAATTTCTTCACCATCAATGTGCAACATACAAGAAAAAGAAGCTTAGAAGATGAAAAATCAGTCTACATTCTCAAGACCAGAAATGATTCTGGTTTCAATTCATTTTACCATTCGCAGAAGAAAAATCAAAGCAAGATTCAAACAGAAACAAAACGAAATACAGGCGATAACAACAATGACTCATTACCAGCTTCTTGTCTTGAAGAATAGACGGCACTACTAGCTTATAGAAGAGGCCAGCCTTCCTAGATGGAGAGGTTTCATCGAACGATTGAGCCGCATGTTGCTCGTTTGACTCGGCCATGGCTGTTACAGAATTCTCCATGGAAACTTCAGCAGACCATTGATTCAATTTCCATTGATTTCTGGGAGAACTCTTTGTACCCAAAACCCCGCGCTCTGTCTGTACCAGAACAGAGAGAGAAATATGAAGTTTATATAATTCCAAAAAATGGACCTTTTTAATTTTTATTTACGAAAATAGACCATTTTTTAAATATAGTTTTGTAGATGAAATTACTTTTATGCCCTTATTCATTAAATGTTTTTTTTTTTTACTTTATTATAAATAAATTTGTTGTTCAAATTTATGAAAATTTACGTCATAATCTTTTCCATCGTAAAAGAAAAATGCTTCGGGTTAATGAAAATAGGTGAAAATTTTCATATTTCTTAGTTCAAATTCATATTTTTTAATCAAGTTGCATAATTTTTTGCCGAGTCTACCAAATCTCGACTGAGAAACGATTGAGACGATCGGGAAGCCACCAAGATTTAAGAATGTTTTGCATATGACTGTTTTAGCTATGAATTTAAGACGATCGGGAGTTGAGAGGGTTTGACATAGATATTAAAATTAAAAAATATTACAAATTTCAAAAAGTAAAAAACTAAAATGAAAATATTAGCAATGGAGGTCTTTAATTTTCTAGGTTTTAATTACCTTATTTTGCAAGATTATGATAATAAATTATGGAATAAAATTACCTTTTTGGTCTCCAAGTTTTTAAAATTAGGTGCGTTATTTAATTCCTGAGAAATAAGTTTTATTTATTTATTTTATTTCCTACAATAATGAAGTAACCTTTTATTAATTTTAATGATGACGTGGAAATTATAAAACAAAAATAATAAACATAATAATTAAAAAAAAACTTCTCTTATCCCATGGGTCGTTGGCGGATTGCCAACGATGGATCGACAATTGTCCGCTAGAGATAGCAAACTATGACTAACTCCTCTTTGACGGTGGAGATCTAAGACCAATGACCAAAAGTTCATTATTGGCAATCACCTCCTCTTTCGATTAGTGAACTGTCGGTATGGGAGCCAACAAACCTAATTCTCACCAGTCTTTAGTACTCAGTTGTCGGTTGTCAACGTTAGAGGTAGTTACTGGCCATCGATCATCGATGTCAAACATGGTCGATGGTCGGACTATCAATTGATTTTTGTGAGTCAATTTAGACATTTAATTTGAAAATCGTTCATATCTCAATCCTCATACATGCACGTACACTTCTTAAAAAATCTAGACCCTCAATTTAAAATTTGTTAATTACTTGAAACAAATAATCTAAGTTGATTAACCTTGTGATATTTTTCAAGTTCATAGTTGATGTTGTTTTTTTTTTTTTTTTTTTTTTTTTTTTTTTTTTTTTTTTTTTTTTTTT